ACTTCTATAGCTTTTGAAATTTTTGAGCGAGTAGTAATGAAATTAAACTAGATTGTTAACAAACATTGAGTTTGAATTCGGACACTTCTACATTGAATACTCGCCAACTTCAGAAAGAATTTATATATTAGAAATCAAATTGATTAATATTCAACTGTTTCAAAGTGAAAAATATACCATGAAAAGTTAAAAATACACAAAAATCGAGTTTATTCAAAAATCCCTCTAACGTTTTTTTTTTCATCTTTGGTTAAAATTACTCAGAAAATAATGTGGAAGTAATATCTGAAGAGAACCAAGATGGAGCAGTAATTTTGGTTTAAAGTTAGTCCTAGCCCACAGTGAAAATAGAATTTAAAAGAATTAAAATTTAGTTACAGAATAAAAGGGATTGATTCGAAAAGAATATTTTGTTGTAAAATTAAAATTAAGATTCGTATAGAAACTGGCTCGGAAACAAATTTCGAAATGTCGCGAAATAATACATTAAGTCTTATTGAAATCCGAAACTTTCGTAATAGGCCAGTCAATAAAGACAAAAAGTGCTATTAAATGTAGACAGGCTGTTCGAAACGGATTTTTTGGGATAGAATCCAACTATAATTGTCTTTTTTTTACTAAAACAAATTTTTTTTAAACTTTCAAGTTATTTGAAACTGCGCTAACAAGTAAAATTTATATAAACACACTAATAAAAATTTCTAAACAATTAGAAAACAAAAACAAACGAGTATTGAACAGGCTACAGAAAAATTAATTAAATACTAATAAAAAAAATGAGAATGTTCGTGCTACTGAACAGTCAACAAAAAAGAAAAGCAAATCAACAAATGAAAAACCAAAGAAGAAACTTCACAGTATGTTGTTGTTGTTAGGTTACGTGATCGCCACAATATTAACTTTTTGACTATTTTTCTTATAAAATATTCAATGGATTAAATTGAAATTTTATGAGAAAAGTCTAATTTATGTTGTTAAAAGGCTGTGATGTGCAAGAATTGTAATGTTTGTTGAATTAATTATTATAAAATACTTGAAAATCGTTGGAAAATCCGAACAATGACGTCACTTCTAATTTCCAATTTTCTAATGATTACGAAGCTGAAGTACGCAACGTTTATGATAAACGATTTTTAAAGAAATAAATCTAAATAAATCCCTCATTTTTAAAATGAAAAATTATATAATTTTTTGCCTAAAAAATAGTTTTTTTATAATTTGTTGATTAATAAAAACTAGGGTAAATGCACTAATTGCGGCTCGATTCGTGTCAAAACACTTTTGAAATAGAAAATTCGACATTTCTATTGTATAAACTCAATTTAAATGTTGATATATTGTTAAATAATGATTATAAAAGACTTGAAAATAGTTAGAAAATGTGAGAGTTAGAAGTGTTGGATTTTCTAACAATTTTTATGTCTTTTATTATATTTATTTAACAATATATCAACATTTTCGCACTTGATAACCATTCCTTATCATATTATATTTGGAACCTTTCCATATAATTCCATATAATTATTAAAAAAAAAGCTCTCGTACACGGAGAAAAATGGAAAAACGAATAAAGTAACTTTTACTACTTTAAAAGTAAAATTGGACCTGTCCGAAGTTTCTGCGCATCTCTGGCAACTTTTACTCGAAAAATAGTAAAATTGACTATTTCTGTAGTAAATTTTACTGTTTCCGTAGTAATTTTTACTATTTCTGAAGTAAATTTTACTATTTTTGGAGTAAAAGTTGCCAGAGATGCGCAGAAACTTCGGACAGGTCCAATTTTACTTTTAAAGTAGTAAAAGTTACTTTTTCTTTTTTTCCGTGTAGTTACCTGAGGAATTTAGTCAAGAAGAACTGTGCCAAATTTCAAAACGATTGGTTTAGTAAATTTTCAGATATCGTGAACATGGATTTCAAAAATGTAATTTCGAGAAAAACGCAATTTTAAATTTTGACAATTTTTGAAATCTGACTTCAGATTCGTAATCAGCGACCCCAAAACTTATACATATATATATATATATATCAACGACATCGCAGAAAACATTCAAAAATGTCCGCAAAAGGTTAAACACAAAATAAATTCAAAATATACAAAAACACAGCGGAGCAACATAACATTATTTTCACACTCATAACAATTAAAGCTGAATTTATAGGACACAAACAATTCATGGTGTGAAAATGTTTTATAAATATAGTTTTAAAAATTTTTATACAGAAATGAAGATGTGAGTCTTTTGAAATAATTCTTTTAGTTCCGATTAACTATTTAGACGCGTCACATTTTTGGAAAGGTGTCCATGACACTTTACACTCGTGCACTTTCGTTGTACGTCTAGTTACAATTCAATAGTATCTAGACCTCATGGACTTGATTGAAGACTTTTAACGTCTCATTTCTAGCAAATAAAATTTTGTATTAAGTCCAAGACCACAAAGACTTGTTTTCAATCTAATAGAACTAAATATTTTTCATATTAATATCTCATTTTTCATTAAGACCTCAACGGCTTATTTTTAGACCATTATTTGTGATTAATATTAGTTATCGGCTACTTTCTAATCAAAATAAAAAATTTGACTATGTTAGGAGTAAGACTCTTTTTTTCCTGTGTAATGCTTAAATGCTCGCATAACTTTTGTCAATTTTGCTCCGATCGGCTTGAAATTTTTACACAATATTCTTGAAATATTATTTATTTATTTAAGTATCAACGGGCTTACAAAAAGAAAAAACACCCTTTCGTACAAAGTACTATTATATGAGGGGCTGATAGTAAAAATGGTTTAAAATAACATTGGGAGCAAAAGTGGGATAAGTGACTTGGGAGCAAAAACGGGTTAAAATGATTCGTGTAATTTATTGATAAATTCATTATATTAACGATTAAAAAATATTAACAATAGGAAAAAATGCATATTTTATTATAATTAATATTTTTTAATCGATAATATAATGAATTTATCAATAAATTACACGAATCATTTTAACCCGTTTTTGCTCCCAAGTCACTTATCCCACTTTTGCTCCCAATGTTTTTTTAAACCATTTTTACTATCAGCCCCTCATATGATAAGAAAAAAAAAGAAAATTATAATAAAAAAAGAAAAAGTAATTAGTTACGCTATGTGCTGTCCTCAAAATTAAATAACAATTCTCGCAGGGCAGTGACAAATCGCGGAGTAAAGTTTTCGAAAATAAGAAAAAGGGTTAGTCCACTGACTTTCGTCTAATAGTGGTTGCGACCAAATTATTAAAAAATCTAGTTTTAATATATGTGAAACTCAATGATTCCCTGAATACATTAACCATAATATTATGGTAAAAATTTTATTCCCTTTAAAAATATTAAATATATCAAAAGTAGGAGGTTCACAATGTGATTTTGTAACCTTAAATTTTTCAATTTTTTTTAAAAACGCTATTATTAAAAAACTATTAAAAATTAGATGTTGGAACTCACCAAAAACATAAATCACTTTATTCTGCACAGAGGAACGAAAGAATTATTGCAAAAATTTATTATTTTTGGATGATATACGATTTTAAAAAAAAATTTATTTAAATATTCTCAAGATTTTTATTTACTTACAACTTTTTTGTCGGTGCTCCGAAAAAATTGAGGTTTTGCACAAAGATTTTTTATAATATTCTTTACCTTCCTTTAAAATCTCATGAAGATGCTTGCTTTGGAGATATTAATTTTAAAAAAATTTTATGTAAAAGGTTAATTAAAAGACTTGAAGTTAACTAACCAAATTCAAACTGCTCCATTTTTTATAAAAATATATTAAAATGTAGCGATTTGAAATTGGTCAGTTAACTTCAAGTCCTTTAATTAACCTTTTTAAATAAAAAATTTTGAAAATTAATATCTCCAAAACGAAGCAAAACATCTTCGTGAGATTTTAAAGGAAGGTAAAGAATATTATAAAAAATCTTTGTGCAAAACCTCAATTTTTTCGGAGCACCGACAAAAAAGTTGTAAGTAAATAAAAATCTTGAGAATATTTAAATAAATTTTTTTTTAAAATCGTATATCATCCAAAAATAATAAATTTTTGCAATAATTCTTTCGTTCCTCTGTGCAGAATAAAGTGATTTATGTTTTTGGTGAGTTCCAACATCTAATTTTTAATAGTTTTTTAATAATAGCGTTTTTAAAAAAAATTGAAAAATTTAAGGTTACAAAATCACATTGTGAACCTCCTACTATTTTTTAGTTTTATGACTTAAAAAATATGTTTTAGAAGTACATTCTTTTGTTATTTAAGTTGAAACTCTTCCAAATATCAAAATCGACTTTTTTTTTATGATTTCGATTGACAAAATCGACTTTTTTAAACTTTAAAAATTGATCAAAGGCGTGTATTTTAAAAAGTGAAAATTACATTCAACTGAATAGAAATTCTGTCGATTTATTCAATAATAAATATATATATATATATATATATGGTATAGTCTCGATCTACTTGGGGAATTTTTTTCATGATTGTCATGTCATTAGTATCAGTTGAGAAATATGACGATTGAACTGTAACAAGAGGCGTAAGAGATATATATGAGAAACATTTCATTTGTTATAAATATCAAGCACACATATATTTTATATAACGGATTCAGTACAAGCAATATATAAAATTTGTCCAAGAAATACCGCTGAACGTATATGTATATAGTTGTGTATCAATTACACTTCGAGCTTTTCCAAATGACACTCTTGAAGGTGCCACTCTCTCATATATATATATATGTATATATAAATATACAAACAAACTAGAGGTACATTATCATTTTTCTTCTTTTTTTCTTCTCCCTGTAAACAGGAGAGTGGGACAAACTGGTTAACCTCTATATATTGGAACTCTGAAAGGGGATGACGTGTTATAGGAGAGGAGAGGAAAGGGCGATATAAAGTGGCAGGGGATAAGGAGGAAGATGAAGAGGAGGGAAAGTCCAAAGATAAGCCCCCCAAGCAAGAGAGAACAACTCTTTGAAATGATTGTGTGTGAAATGTCTTTCAATACAAATCAAAATCTTGTTTGAATCGTAACGTTGGTTGCGTGTATGTAACACGCCTCTCGTTCGCAGGTTGGCTCAAATCGACAAGAGTTGTCAAGAAGTCGCTGCCAGGCAGTGCCTTCCAGTTTGCTTCAAGTGTTTTAGTTGCGTGCGTGTTAATTTAGTCTCTCGTTGACTCTCTTTCGAGTCTCTTTGAAAGATCTCTAGTTTTCTATTTTTTTTTTCTTTTTTCGTGTGTGTGTGTGTGTGTCACTCGTTTAACACGTGTCTCTCCCTTGTCCCTTAGCCACGTGTACACCCAATTAACATTACACTTGAATTTCTTATCGTTCAACTCAATTGATACGATCTACAACTGTTTTGAAAGAAGAATTTTTCCCGTGTTTCTGTGTATGTGTGTGTGTATATAACTTGACCAGGTGACCTTTTTAATTCAAATGTTGTGAAACATCGAAGGATATACAGAATCTCAATATTTTTGAGATAAGAACTCAAGAGATAGAGGGAGAAAAAAAAAGGGAAGACTGAAGAAGAGTGAAAACAACGGAGACGTAAAGTTTTCTTTTTTTGAAATAAAATTGAACATTTTATGGCTTTTATGGGCCATTAAGTGAATTTTGTGATACTGGCAAATTTAAAAGTGACAGAAGAGATCCATCCAGCATCTCAATGTTGGAGTGTGCTAATGTTATATAATAGCATGCAGTTCGCATATCGGTACACGTGGAACAAAGAAATAATTGTCAACTCTCAAAAACTTGTGAAAAGACGTTGAAAAGGAAACAAAACACATGCGAGGACAAGATATACTTTAATTATTATTGTAGATCTAGCCCACCATATTCGATCGTTAATCACATTAATTTTGTGTACTTTTTTTCTGATCTTTCGTTTTTCTTTAACTTTTCATTATTATTATTATTATTATTATTCCTCAATCTCGGCATTACCGCTGATTCTGTGATTTGCATTTGATCATCATCCAAAAATGAATATCAACATGGCAAGAATGTCTGTTGCCTGTTTTGGTGGTAGGTTTCTTTATTATGATGTTTATATTTCTCTTTTTCTCTTTCTCTTTTTCATTCATAATGGAATGCAATTTAATTCTCATTTTTTTTTTTTTTTGGGGGGGGGAGTGAAATTAAAAATTCATAAACAATTAGTCGTTATTAAAAATTTAATTTTAATTAGCCAATAGCCATTGACCTTTTTCAAAAAAAAAAATATATATATATTTATATTCTCATTAATTTGTCAGAAAGATGTTTATTCGACGCAGTAATAAGTCATAAATAATTTCGTTACAAACTTTTTATTTTCTTTTTTTTTTTTTGAAAATGAATAAATAAAGGAAAATTAATTTAATTATATAAATTTCATTGATCAATTTAATTATTGATTAATTAATTCTTACGATGGGTTTATTAATTACAATTTTGAAATTAAAATAAATAAGTTATCATTAAATTAATTACATTATTTTAATTAAATACACGGAGAAAAATGAAAAAAAAAAATATAAGTAACTTTTACTATTTTAAAAGTAAAACCTGTACTGTCCGCGGTTTCTGGCAATTTTTATTCCAGAAATAGTAAAATTTACTCCTGAAATAATAAAAATTATTCCGGAAATAGTATATCTTACTATTTCTAGAGTAAACATTGACAGAAACTGCGGACAGTTCAAGTTTTACTTTTAAAGTAGTAAAAGTTAAAAAAAAATGAAATTTAAATAAAAAATTTAGGGCGTCCGGAACATAAAAATCACCCTGTATATAGTATTAATAATAATAATAATTATTATTATTATTATTGTTATTGTTATTATCACAAAAATAGGAATAATAAATAAAAAATATAATAATATATTAGAGAATGCATACAAAAAGATTTTATAAAATTTCAATACCTTGTTCTGATTGAAATTATTATCAGTCTTATCAGAATTTGAAGATATCTTGTTTGTTACAAAATATAAATTATTTATTAAATTATCTGCAATTAATTTGTTTTTTAATTTTTTCTATTTTATATTGTTTGGACCAAAATTTTGTGTTTTTTTTTTTTTTTTTTTGAATATTTTATGTCAAGTGCGGGAATTATAAATGTGAGACTATATATATATATCTAAAATAGAGTTTTCGTAAATTACTATATATTTATACTTAAAAATCAATTAAACAAACATTAAAGAATAATTAAAAAAATCTTTAAAATTGGGTTGGAATCTTATTAATAGTAAATAAATACGATTTGTAAGAAGTTATTATGAAAGAAAGAAATGTGACTGCATTGTTTTCAAAGAATCAAATGCAATTATATGCTTTTTGAATCTAACGAATAGAATAAATTTCAACAAAATTATATTTTAAATATAAAATAAATATTAAAAAAATGAAAATTAAGTAATTAATAATTAAATTTTTCAATTATATTTTCAAGAATTCAATGCAAAAATTTTATATGATTAAATAAGTTTTTAAAAAAAAAAATCTAGATTAATTTTGAAATTCATGAATATTCGCTAAAAATAATTCGTACGAATTTTCTGTTTTTGAAAATGTTTATTTTCTACTTCATTGAATTTTTGTAATACAGAATTTCTATTTCATCGAATTTTTTATCTGTCCAAATTTATATTTACAAGAATTGTATAAAATAGAATTTGAACATTCGTCAACAAATTTTGTGTAACGTTTCTTAATCAACAATTTTTTTTTTAAATTTGTATAGGCAAAAAATTGTATTATTTTCTGTATGAAAAATATATTTCATTTTTTTTAAAAGTGTTTTATTAATTAATTTCTATGTAATAAAAATGAAAATTAACAAATAAATTATTCGGTGAAATAAAAATTCGTTTAAATATTATCGAAAATTTTTCTGAATAGAAATTAAAAATTCTGTTATCTAAATAAAAATTTGAATTAATATTCAATAATGAAGAAAAATTTCATTAAATAAACATTTTATTACGTAAAAATTCTATTCGATAAAAATTTAGTTAAAAATTCACTAAACAGAAGAATTTGCAAAAAGAAAATTCGGTTAAATAAAATTTAGTTTATTGTTACACAACAAAAATAAAATCTACTGAAAATCCAGAAGCAAAAGATATTTTTATAGATAATATAATATAATTCATTACATTAATATTCCCGGATGACTAAAATTTAAAAATAAAAATTTAAATAAATGATAAAATAAAAAAATTAGATAAACATTAAAAAATATTTTTTTCTTATCTAGAATAATTTTATACACACAAGATTTTTATATCTATAGCTCCATATTTTTAACGTTTGTCACATTAAGTGAAAAAAAAAGAAAAGAAAAATTAAAAAATAATAAAATTAACAAATAATAATTGATAAGTTTCTATATATTAACTTGAGACATTTATCATATTAAAAGAAAAAAAAAAAAATGGAAAAAATTTTTCAAATAGGTTTTCTAAATTCCAACAACTTAAACTAGCTCCGATTAATAACCTGTTTATAGAATAGGCAATAAATTTTCGGCTATTGAAAACTGTTATAATAAACATATATATACGTTCACTTTTTGTTGTGAATTTCCGTTATACGCTTGCATGTATCAGTGCGTATAAATTTTCGATTCAAAGCTTAAATTCTGTTTTTATCATTTTTATAGACAGATTTGATTATGTCCAGCACTAAAAATCGTGTTTTTCTCTATAAAAAAAAGCATTTTTTTTAGGCACTTGAATTTCCCATAAAACTCATTAAATAGAATTTTTATTTTACAGTATTTTATTAGAAATAATTATTTTTTAGACGAATTTTTAATTTTTGAATTCAAAAAATTTGACACATTTTCTAATTTATACTTTTTACCACGATTTTTATATAATAAAATTTTTAACTACCTAAATTTTGTTTGGCAGAATTTTTATTTTACAGTCAATTTTCATTATATGACTTTTTATTTGAAAAGAATTTTAATTTTATCGAATTTTTCATTAAACAGAATTCTGATTCAATCGAATTTTATGTGATTCGCATTTTTAAATGATAGAAATTACAATTCACCGAATTTTAATGGGACGCATGATATTATGTTCTAAAAATCATTAGTTAGAATTTTCATTTTATGGAATTTCATTTGTCATAATTATTTTTGAGTCGAATTTTTATTTGTTCGAATTAGTATTTTGCAGAATGTTCATCAAAAACGATTTTCTATATTACAGAATTTTTATATAACCAAAAATTCACTTCACAGAATTTTTATTTGTCAAAATTTTTATTTGCTCGAATTTTCATTTAACGTAATAGGCATTTTAAAGAATTTTTATTGGGTAGAATTTCATTGAATAGAATTTTCATTTTATATTCTTTCAGATGAATTTTCATTTGTTCAAATTATTATTTGATATAATTTCCATTTAACTGATTTTTCATACTTCAGAATTTTTATTTAACCGAAAAATCATTGAATAGAATTTCTATAATTGATAGAATTTTCATTTGTCCGAAATTGCAAATGGCCGAACAAACAATCGACAGAAAGATTTCGGTGCGATTTTTAAAATCAAGCAATCAAAAATTATCCATAAAATTGTGATTGGTTGATTTTAAAAATCGCACCGAAATCTTTCTGTCGATTGTTTGTTCGGCCATTTGCAATTTCGGTCAAATGAAAATTCTATCAATTATAGAAATTCTATTCAATGATTTTTCGGTTAAGTAAAAATTCTGTAGTATGAAAATTCTATTCAATGAAATTCTACCCAATAAAAATTCTTTAAAATGTCTATTATGTTAAATGAAAATTCGAGCAAATAAAAATTCGAACAAATAAAAATTCTGTGAAGTAAATTTTCGGTTATATAAAAATTCTGTAATATATAAAATCGTTTTTGATGAAAATTCTGCAAAATACTAATTCGATCAAATAAAAATTCGGCTCAAAAATAATTATGACAAATGAAATTTCATAAAATGAAAATTCTAACTAATGATTTTTAGAACATAATATCATGCGTCCCGATATAACTATGAAAATATTGAAAAAAAAATTTATTTCATTAAAATAATTTTTTATATTCTCATTCTCGAATTACCTAAAATATTTTTGTTTGATTTTTTTTCTTTTGTCTATTTTTACAATTATCTTTATTGCGATGACCAATTGAAATAAATAGATTAAAAAATATACACATCGCGCTTATAGAAAAAAAAAATATCTTGATTATATTTGAAAAGAAAATGAAAATGTTTTCCAAAACATATTTTCAAACTGATTATATTCATGATCACATGATCTCTTTTATTGTTAGAATGCGAGATAACAATATTGTTATACCCTTTTTTCATTTTTTTTTTTTTTCTTCTAAATACATCTGTGCGGCTTTTGTCATGCAAAAATATATTATTGACCTCAAGCTCCGGGGTTCAAGACAAAAATGATAACGCTAAAAACTATTAAACCGTGAAATGTTCAAAGTTTCCTAGAAAAGTAGGTCAGGGCTGCGAGTTAGCGTGAATGTTGAAATTCTAATATTAATCTCTTTATATAGGTCCAGATTGGTCAAAGTTGCAAATATATACATATATGATTCGACTTTCATTAAATATTTTAAATACATTATTATCAATAATTTTCTCAATGCTTTTATACAATACCACTTTGGAGAGAGAATATCACATATTTGATAGCTTCCCTCTTTTAAAATTTAAATGGCTAGTTATTTTAATCACTTTAATATATTATTATTATTGACGCGAATATTTTCTTATCAACAACAAGTTCAGTTCTAATTATCCTGTTAATTAAAAAAAAAAAAAAAGATATTTTTCTTTTCATTATTACAATTTTAAACTATCAAACAAAATTCTGTTTGAATTTTTTTTTAATTAATTCAATTTTTCATAAGCAAACACAAATGTGATAATATATTGTTTAAAATAAATATACACGAAATTGTAAAAAAAAAAAAATATTTATTCTTTTTATAACAAATTAATTTTTAATAAAATAAAATTTTATTTATTGTAGAAAATTT